CCTTCGCTGCGTTCTGCTACATGCTCACCCTGGTGCTGTGCGCCTCCCTCATCTTCTTTGTCATCTGGCACGTAAGGCCGGGCTGGGGGCGGGGGACGGGGCCCCCGGGCGGGAGGACCAGGGGCTGGGGCCCCAGGGACACTAGGGCCTCCTTTTCATTAGCCAGCCCCCCTTCCCGTCTTCAGATCGCTTCATTAACGTCCTTATCGCCCATTTCCTTCCCGGAGGGGGGGGACCTTCCTTCACCGCCCCCGCCTGTCTGTAGGTATGTCAGTCAGCCCCTGACCCCTTCCCCCTCCCCATCCAGAAGTGGGGTACGGGCTAGAATTCTGCAATTCTTGTTCCTTCTTGGAGCGGTTCTACCCACTCGCCCCATTCATTCAGACGCCCCCATTTGTCCACTGGGGCAGTTTGTCTATCTATTTGCCCCCCCCCCCTTGTGGGTTTTTCCAGCCAGAGTGATGGAGCCAGTTGCTATGGCAACTGCATCTGTTTACAGGACCCACGGATCTCAGAGCCCATTAACCCCTTCCCTTCCCAGCCCCCTCCCTGACCAAGCAGCACTTGGCTCTAAGCATCCCAAAGACGTACCTACCTCCCATGGGCTCCCCATCACCCACCAGGTTTCTTCCCCACTTTTCAGCTTCCCTTCCTATTCCTGACCCTACTTCCCCTTTGTCTTTTCATCCCTGTAATTCCTTTGGTCTGTCCTCATCCTCATGGACCTCCTCCAGAGAGAGTCCCTTGCCCTCTTTCTCTATTAAGGCCTCCTCAGAAGCCCCCCTGCCTGGTTCTTTTCCCCTCATCAAGGACTAGCAGTCTGTCTCCAGCACATTGTTGGGGACCCTGCTCCTCCTGACCCTGAGCTTTTGGCCTGCACCCCGCTCCTCTGCCTGGCTTCTGTCGCCCTCTTGTCCACTTTCACTCTCCTGGCACCCTCAGATCCCACCTACACTTCCCTGACCTTCACCCCTTGGGGACCTCTCGCTCAGTGACCCCCTTCCTTCCTCTCACTTCCCACTGCCTTACCTCCTTTCCTTGTCTCCCCACTTCCTCTTTCCCTTCCCTGCTCCTGCTCCCTGATTTTCCAGTCTTCCTGGCTCTGGGAGACTTTGCCCTTTGCCTTCCCTGGCACTTACCTCATTTATATCAGGATTCCAGCCTCTCATTGTGCCCCTTATCACCCAGGGATCCCCATGGCACCTTCACTCTCCCCTCCAGTTACCCTGCTTCTCAGTTGTCCCTTTTTCTTTTCCTCCCTCCATCCCCCCCATGCTGATCCTCCTGAGATCTCAGGCCTCCTAACCTAGCCCTGAGAACCTGGACAGCCTGAGTACCCCAAGTCACTAGGAATCAGAATTCCAGTCACACTAGGTTAAAGCCCCAGCTCCACTGATAACTAGCAATGTGGCCTCTGAAAACCCGCATTAGGGTGTTAAAAAAGATGAGGCAGGCTAGATGGCTGGGTGCTGAAAGACTGGAGGGAATTGAGAGTCACCGGCCAGGAACCAGGCCCTGGGACAAAGTCTGGGTCCTGGGATTCCATCCTGGCTGCACGGCTTCTCAGACCATGCTAGCAGTGTTTTTAGTGGCCCGCGGCTTCCTGAGGACCAGGCTCTGAGAGGTCCAGGATGAGTCAGACCCAGCTGTGCCCTCAGGGAATGGCCACTGTGGGAGAAGGCTCAAAACTGAAGGAATATCTCTGTTCATTGAGCAGCTGTTTACTGAGCACCTACTATGTGGTAGCACTCATGCAGCTGTGTGATCTTGGCAAGTTGCTTGACCCCCTGAGCCTGCTACATCAGCATGCCCTAGCAGGGCCTGCTAAAGGGGTGGAGGGATGGGGGCGTGGTTCTCCATCCAAAGCTGATTAAGAGCCAGACCCTCCTAGAGCAGGACCTCAGATCCCACCACAGACCCTGCATTCAGGTCCTCCTGGTTGGTAGGCAAGCCTGGTGGTGAGTGATGTGTGTCAGCTGTCACCGTGGGGGATTGTTTGTTCCGGGGGGCTGAGTCAGCGCCAGGCAGCCTGGGGGGTGGGAGGCGTGACACCCGCCGCCTGCTGGCGATGCCAGCTCTGGGGCAGACAGACGGCACCCCTTCCGTTCCCGCTGGACCCTGTTGCTATGTTGTCAGGCGGGCGGTGGCCTAGAGTCAATGGGAGTTGGGGGCATGACAGATGGCCCGATCTCCCTCCAGGAAGCCCATGTTCTCTCCCTCTGAGCCGTCTGGGGTCTGGGATGCTTGGAGGTGGTGGGTCTGATGCCAACCTTCCTCCCCCAAGTCACTCCAGGTCCATCCCATCAACCCCTCAAGCTCCCACTGCCCCCCCTGAAGACACTGTCCTCCAGACCTCTGACATCAGATGGTATCTTGGGCTTCTCTGCCTTCACTCCATGGCCATCCAAGCCCTGGGGCCCTGGCTCCGGACAATGCCCTCAACCTCACCACTCTCCTCGCTTGGGTCACCACCAATCCCTCCCCAACATGCCAGGTCTTTACTGCTCTGCCCTAGATGCCACCATGTGAGATCTGAACTCAAGCCAAGCTGCATTAGAACTTAAAGCTCCCCTCCCCAGCAAGTCACTTAACCTGTCTCAGTTTCCTTGTCTGCAAACCACATAAGGTTGTTGCAAGGATTAAATGAGTGAATATGCGTAGAGCCTGCTGGCAGAGAGTAAGCACAGCGTATGTCTTGGCTGTGACTATTATTCATTTTGTACCTCCTGTTCCCACCAGTCTGAAAGCATCAACCTGACCCCCACTACTTTTGTTACTTTATGACCTCAGTGGCTCCCCACTGCTTTAAGGCTGAAGTCCGTGCTCCAGGGTCTGACTTCCTAGGGAACCTGTGTCTGGCCCCACTGCCCTGCAGAGCCGCCATCTTTCACCTCCCCCTTCCCACTACTTGCACCCTCCCTCTGGCACCTCTGAGCATCGTTCCTACAGCCCTCTGTGCCACTGTACTTGCTGTTCCACTGCTTGAACTGCCCTCCCCCCTTTGTTCACCAGGCAACCGCCAGTCAAGCCTGGGCTTCCTGTGACCCCCCCCCCCAAGCTGGGTTAGGAGCCCAGCACAGAGCTTCTGAGATACCCAGCCTGAGTCTCCAGAGTTTGGGGTCTTCAGGGTGAGGGCTGTGTCTCAGGTTTCAGGCCCCGTGCCAGCACAGGGACCGGCAGAGGTCATCTCTGGGAAGTTGTAGTGGGCATGGCCCAGGGTCAGACACCAGGGTTCCATCCCAGGCTGACAAGACTGTTGTGGAATCTGGGGCTGACTTCTGCCCCCCGCCCCAGCCTTTCTCAACCTTTGCAACAAGCTCCATCTGGTGTGGTCACCATGTATAAATTCCTGTCCCCAAGTCTCCCCATGAAGGGATGGGTGTGGGTCCATAAGCTGCTCCCCAACCCTGATGGGCACATGCCCCTCCTCCAGATCATAGCCTTTGATGAGCTTCGGACTGATTTCAAGAACCCCATCGACCAGGGGAACCCAGCGCGGGCAGTAAGTGATACATGTGCTGTGCCGAGGTGTGTCCGTCCGTCTGTCTCTCCATCTGTCGGGGGCGGGGAATGGGCAGGGGTATGGGATGATATAGGTGGGGTGGAGGGGCATGCCCCTTCCTTTCTGTGTTCGCCCCAGCAAACACCTGGTACAGCTCAGCTCGGGGGTCGGGTTCCTCTGGCAGGCGGCTGTTGCCAGGTTCTGGGCCGTTGCTATGGAGACGCGGGTGAAGGTCCTCCATGGTGACAGTCGCCATGGGGACGGCGCTGCTGCTTCCCGGGCGCCCTGATGCCGCTGCATATTACTCTGGCGCCCTCTGGTGGCCACATGCATAGTGGTGAAGGGCACAGGAGGGTGATGGGGGGGCCCCCTAAGTCCCGATATCCCTTCTCCCCCCATCGCATCTTTCTCCCCCTACAGCGCGAGCGTTTGAAAAACATCGAACGCATCTGCTGCCTACTGAGGAAGGTCAGTGTCAAAGTTCTGCCCAGCTCTAACGACGATCCTAGCCTTCCTCCCCTTTGGTTATGGCTCATCTACTCAGTCATGGGGATGGGAGATGCAGGCTGGACGCTCTCCCAGTTCCAGAGATCATGACAGGGGTCCCCTCTAAGCCAGGGGCATCCTGGGGTGGGTGTCGCCCTTCTCACCCCAGGGCAGGACGACTGGAGCAGCCTGGTCACCCCCCACAGCTCTCAATAGCCAGGATGGGACACCCTCCTCAGTCAGTGCTGGGGAGCCACAGCCCACCCACACCCTTATTGACAAGAAATAGGACAGAGATGGATTTGTGTGGGGGACACTAGTGACCAGTTACTGCACTGAGTGACAAGCAACACAAACTCTAATGCCCCACTACCTTGGCAGCCCCTCCCCTGCACCACTTTGGGCTCTGGAGTCAGACTGGTGTTACCCACTGTGGACAATACATACCCAAACCCTCCAGTGACACTATGTCCCAAACCCCGCATCTCTTCTGAGCCCTGAAGCTCAGGTCTACCAAGGCACCAGGCCACTGATGTCTCCCTCACTCCCCAGCTGGTGGTCCCAGAATACTCCATCCATGGCCTCTTCTGTCTGATGTTTCTGTGTGCAGCAGAGTGGGTAACCCTGGGCCTCAACATCCCCCTCCTCTTCTACCACCTCTGGAGGTGAGGGGTCTGCGGTCCCTGGGAGGGGAGAATCCGGAGAGCCTGGGTCAGGCGGTGGGGAGCTGTGTGCTGGGCACTCATGCCTCTCTGCCCCAGGTACTTCCACCGCCCTGCGGATGGCTCCGAGGTCATGTATGACGCGGTCTCCATCATGAATGCCGACATCCTCAACTACTGCCAGAAGGAGTCCTGGTGCAAACTCGCCTTCTACCTGCTCTCCTTCTTCTATTACCTGTACAGGTGAAGACTGGCTCCTGGCAGTCAGGGTGCGGGGAAAGCATGCTCCAGGCACCAGATCTCCAGTCCCAGGGATGGGTGGGCACCCACGGTCACCTGCCTTGCCCTTGAGGGCTGAGGACTACCCAGAGTGATGGGAGGGTAGCTGAGGGATTGGTTTGTCCGGGCCTTGGTTCACTACCTCCTCTCCCTACAGTATGGTTTATACGTTGGTGAGTTTCTAAGGGGGAAGCCGGCCAGGGAGCGCGCCCAGAACGGACCGGACGCCTGTGCACCCCCAGCCCTGCACCTTGGCCACAAGGCCTCAGCCCCGGGGAGGGAGGGGGCACTGGTGCCCCTAGCCTCTCCGCCTCCCAAACTGCTGCTGCGGGGACCTCCCGCCTTCCAAGCCCTTGTCCTTGGACTAGGGCTGGGCAGAGCTCCGTACAGGCCAGGGGCTCCCCTGCCAGCCGTGGGCATGGCGGCCAGTTCTGAAATGGGTGGGACCTCTGGCCTTGGCCACCTGGGGGAAACCCAGGCCCTACAGGGCTTGACCCTGGGAGGGCTGGGCTGCCCTTCTCCATCCCCACCCTGAAGCTCCCCCTGCAGGTGGGGGGGTACCCACACCGGGAATGAGCAGGCTCAGCAGGGGGCAGCCCCACCCCTAGTCTGCCCTCCCTCCCAGGCTCTCTCCTGCCCCACGTTTGCCTCTGCCCCCACCCAACCCCACCTCACCCTGTCTCTTGACCTATTTTCTATGTTGCCTGGAGGAGTTCAGCACCCCCTCCCTGGCCATTTGTGACAAAATATGAATAAACTACTGCAAACACGTGGGCTTCAGCTCTGCTCCACCAAGGCTGTGGGGGGTGGACAAGCCTGGACCCTTAAGCCACAGGCTTTCTGTGGACCCTCTCAGATGGACCAGAAACCTGTGAAGCCACATTCCTTCCCCCCTCGAGGCCTTGTTCCAGCACCAGAAATACACAGCTGTGACTTCAACAGCCCTTTCCACCACCCCAGCCAAGTGTCCAGAGCTCCATGGCCGGGACCCCCCGGGCCCAGCTCCTCCACGCGGCCAAGCCTAATCCCTTGGCAGGGCAGAGGCCTCGGGGTGTCAGCAACACTCCTCAGGCCCCAGGAAGGAGGGTCAGGCAAAATCAAGAAATCAGATCTTCAATGTATGGAAAAATCAGTGTGCTGAGAGGGAGTCGGGGTCACCGGACCAGGTGGAAGGTGAGCCAGTATATGATGAGGGGCTGGAAGGCCGCTGCCCCCAGGGTCAGGTAGAGTTGGAAGCGCTGCCGGGGTGCTGGGCCCCCCACACTGTCAGGGCCCACGGCTGCTGTCCGCAGAGAGCGTACCTGAAAGAGATGCAAGCTGAGGTCTGTGGGTAGATCCCAATTCCAACCCTGGGGAGCAAGGAGGGGCACCCAGACTCACGATGAAGTACATGAGTGCGGAGGACGTCCAGGCCAGGGCCACGTAGTAACCGTCGCTGCCAAAGAGCAGCCCCGTGAGCACGTTCAGGATCATCCTGCAGGGGCGGGCAGAGCAGGTGTGTCCCTGCACCGGGCATCCACCCCCACCTCTGACCCTGAATCCAGCCCCACCAGGGACCTGGAGCCAAAGGAAACGGATGGCCTGTCCCTGGGACCCCTCCCTACTGTGCCTCTCGTCTCCCAGGTGAACGGGAACACCTCTACACTCCCAGGTACCACCCCACACAAGTCATCAGAGACTAGCTGGTCCCTCAGAGGGAAAAGGTGAGGCTGAGAAAGCAACAGCCTCCCCACAGTTAGAGCTGGGGCAGCTGGCTTGTCCCCGAGGCCAGCCTCTGGGGCGTCCCCAAGTACTCACCCTACATACTTGTAGCCACTGTAGGCCAGCAGGTGGAAGGTGCTCAGCTCACTGCGCACAGTGGCCAGGTAGAGGCCCAGGAGCAGGGCCAGCACCTCCATCACCACCCACACTAGCGCCGTGCTGGCACACAGCCCCAGCACCTCTGGGGAGAACCTGTGGCAGTGAGGGGCGGGGTGGTGAGAGGTGGGGCTGAGGGCGCAGAGCTCTCGCAGGTACAGGGAGGGTGGAGATGGGGCTGGCACGAACCTTTTCTGAATGCCCAGGGCCATCCCAGCCAGCAGCACATAGGTGATGAAGGCCATTGCTGCCAAGAGCGAGAGAGATGAAGTCAGTCGCCTTCCTCTACTAGGGCCTGCTGCCCCAAGGCGCCACTAACACCTTCCCTGATCCCCAGCTGCATGTCCCAGCATAGGCCCACCTTGACACCCAGCTCCCAGAGCCTTACCTAACCCCTCCCCTGCTTGAATGCCATTTGACCCTTCTTCTAGGCCACCAGCCACCCCTTCTCTCACCCGTCCTAGGAAACAAATCACCTTCTGCTGTGTCTCAGAAACCGCACCAAGGCCTTAGCCGTCCGAACACAGGCAGGGCACACTGGCAGCAGCTAAGACTCCAGGATGCAAGGCCCACAGCCAAGCCTGGTAGGCCTGAGTCGGGGCTGCAGGAATGACCTCCCTTCAGCTATAAATCCTTCAGTCTGGCCACCCTGCTGACTTGGAGGATGCCCGACTGAAGCCTTGAACTGCTTCACACAGCTCAGAGCCAGTGGGAGCTGACCTCTGGCAACAAATCTAACTCCTCCATCCTGCCCTTGGCCTCCCCGGCTGCCTGGGAGGTGACATGCCCACAGTGAAGGCCCAGCGTCTGGGGGCAGGAGAGCAGCCCACGCCCAACAGGCTGTGAGGCCACAAAGACTCTGTGCACCAGCCTCACACGTGAAACCAGCACGCAGTTCCAGCTGCCCATGAGCTACAGGCAGTTAGTGGAGCAAAGGCCTTTGTCCATTCTAGGCCCCTGAGTAGTCTATGATAGATAATACTGGTAGCTCCATGGAGGGCTGGCCCCTGGCATACCCACCCTGCCTTCCATGTGTCCAGTATAGCCCTAGCCATGAGCAGCCCCCAGGAAGCAAAGTCAGCCAACCACATGGGTCCAGCAATCTGACCAATGCTATGTGGACAGGTAGACGTGGAAGACCAGAGTGAGTAACCCATTTGGTTGGAGGTCTAGGAAGGCTTCCTGGAGGGGATGTTTGAGTAGACCTTAGAGGATGAACGTTAATGATGACGCAGCAGCCAAGAGTTATGAAGCGCTTCTGGTGTGTCAAGTACAACCTTTGAGGGTCAGGACTGTTGTTTTTCCTGCTTTACAGAAGCCAGAGTATTCCACGTGGAAGTGACAAGTTCAGATCTAAACCCAGAGCTCCAGGCTACGGAGGCTCATGGTTCAAGGTCCAAGTCAAAGACGCAGGAAGGGCTCCAGCAAGAACCCTCAGGAAATGAAGCAGCAAGCCCCTCATATTCCTCAAAAACCCCCACACAGAAAACAGATACTAAATCAACAGGCAAGCCACTCTTCCCTCCCCCAGCTCCCCCAGCCCCCAGCCCAGGACTGAGACTCACTGGGGATATAGAGGTCAGGGGCGTTGAGGTCTTGCCGAGGGGGGAGAGGCACATCACGACTGTACTGCAGTTCCCAGTTCTGGCAGTGGGCGGGGCAGGAGAAGACACGAAAAGAGGCGGGGGTTGAGGTCTTGTGGCTGGTCCCTGGGTCAGGACAGGAGGTGACCATGGAGGACTGTCAGCCGACATAATGGACAGCTCACCTGGTGTGTGTAGGGGAAGACCAGCAGCCCTAGCTTCTTGGCCACATAGGCGGTGTCCACAGCAAAAAAATACTTGAGTTTGTTCACAGACACAAAGCGATGCAGCTAACACACAAGAGGGAAGAGAGGAGGCAGTGGGCATGCTGCATCCCGCCCTTAGACTGCTCCTTCTGAGGGCTGCGGAGAGAATCAAGTGGGAGCCCAAGGTGCCCCATCCCTGGCCACATATCCTGCCACCCCTGCCCAGGGGCAGGCCACACCTCCTTGTGCACCATGTCCTTCCCATGGGATGCAATGGAGCTGCCATAGGCCATAGCCACGTTGGCCACTGGGTCCCCCAACAAGTTGTTGACATTGAAGGCCACATCAGCTCCTGGGGCCGGGTATCCCCCTGGCTGGCCGGAGTAACCACCACTTGTATCATCGAAGAGGGGAGGGGGCTCTGGAGCTGCCCGGGCCCTGTGCTTGGAACCTGTCAATCAGAGATTAAGACTAGCAAGCAGGAGCCCAGACCCTTCCTTCCTCCCAGGCCGGGCAGCCCTGGGGGTCCTCAGTGAGATGCCGATGTGAGCAAAGAGCTGAGTGAGGCAGCACCTGAAAGCGGTCGCCTGTCTGGGAGTTCTTGGGGAGGAGATCTCGGGGAGTGACCTCTGAACTAAGCACAAGTGGAGAGAGAGCTGGAAAGATCAGCAGGTGGACACCCCCGAGTGCACAAGGGAGGGAAAGACCACAGCTGAGCGCCCAGAGATCTGGGCAGAGCCTGGGAACCCCACCAGGATGATGGTAGGAAGGCAGAGCCGAGTCCTGGACGTGGATCCCCGGTTCAAGCCCAGGTCGGCGAGGGGATCCCACCCATGCTATCACCGTTCTGATCTCAGGAGAGGGCGAAGTCCGGGACACATGGCCAAATCGCACGAGGCAGAAACCCGAATGACCCTGCCGCCCCGAGGGGCTGACCCTCTCCCACAGGGTGGGCTGACCGCGTCGTCGATACTTATGTGACAGGCCAGGCCGCGCCCCGCTCGCCCCGCGCCCCACGCACCGTGGGCTCCGTAGCCCGAATGATAAGCCATGGCCTTGACGCTCACTGTCCCCGAGGGCCCGCCACACCGCCTCGAGGGGACGAACGCTAATCAGACAGCAGCCGCGGTCGCGGGGCACCGGCGGGGACTAGAGAGCAGCTCGACACGTCCCACAGCTGGCTGACCGCAGCCGCCATGGCCGTGACGTCACTCTCCGCCGCCTGCCATTGGCTCCTCTGCTGCTCAAGCTTGCCTCTCCTCTCTCCCAATTGGCTACTGAGCGCTCCAAGCCCGAGCCGAGTCCAGAGCAGTCAACTTCCGGGCACCGGGTAGGCGGCGGTGATGGCAGGCGTTTCCGGATTGGACAGCGAGCTTGCCAGTTCGCTGCAGCAGCAACCAATAGACGGGTGAAGTAGGATGGTGCCTAAAATTCGTCTTGCGCCTGCGCTGTGGGTAGCTTACTGCTCACCCTGCCACGACTACACCAACCAGGCGGAGAATGGGCGGAGGGAGGTGGAGGCTGGAGACCAGGAACGAAGCTTCACGGCGGGGTACTCTCCAGCAGGGCACGGGGAGGGAGGACTCTGACCAAGCCCTGGCCCTCGGGACTCCCGCTCTTCCTCTGGGCTCACATTCCTCCCCTGTCCCTGCCACTGCCCCCACCTCGGTGCTGGCGCGGAGCCCCTGCAGCCCGGGAGGTGTTGGTGGGAGGCTGGACCGGGCAGCGACAGCGCGGCACAGCGAGCCCGGGCTGCTGGCTCCCCGCCCCACCTCCATCCCTCCTGGCCGCCCGGGTGCTGTCCGTCATCTGGTGCTGAAATGGCTCTCCTCCTTCAGCCACCACCCGGCACCTTCTGGGAGATCTAGGTTCTGCCTTCTACCTGCTCTTCCACCCTACTGCACAGATTGAAAGATTGCATCCCAGACAATCCAAAATCCTATAGTGGGTAATATGACTGGGGCAGGATCCTACACTTTCCCATGGAGATTTCTTCTGTGGTTTAGCTGATGTGGGAACTGAGGTGTGCCACTCTGCCTCCTGAAGGTGCAACAGAAACTCCTGAGTCATCCGCGGCCCTGAGGTCTTCTCAAAATGAGGTCCTCAATCTGGACTCGTGGTTCCAGGGCTTGCTGTCTGTCTGCCCAGGTTCTGACTACTCCCATCCTCCCAACACAGCCCTGAAGGCCTCCTTCTGCAGCGTCCTGCTATGACACTGGTTTAGGTCTTCTGCGGCCTGCCTCTGATTAGCCACACGGTGTCCAGTTACACCAGGTGACCTTTCTGTTCCCTAAACTCAGTCCACGTGGTCCAATAGCAGTGTCTTTGCCCCAAAGGTCCCTCTATCACGACTGTCTTTCCCTTCATATCTCCTGTTCAGAGCCTGCTTATCTTGTAAGACTCACCTCAGTTTGTGTCTCTCAGAGGCAAGAGGAGAAGGAAGGCCAAGCCTGACCTACTCTGGCCTGAGAACCTGGAGGCTAGGGTTCAGGGATCCCTCTGGGTGTCATTCTTGAACCTCTGTCTTCTCACTGCCAACCTGGTCTGAGCTTCTGGGAGGCAGGGCATGCCAGCTGTGGCAGTGAGCAGTGCTTTCTTGCAGAGGACACTAACATTTTCTATCCAAATACATAATAAACTGATGAAGCCCTGGGCTTTCTTTCCTCCTCACAACTCGTCTTTTGAATGACGAGAATGTTGAATCTGATGATCACTGAGATACCCTTTTGCCCTTTGCCAAAACCAAAATAAAAAAACAACAACCTACAGCATTGCAGTTTCCCACCCTCATCCACTGACTGCCCCTTTGGGGAACAAGACTCAGAAGCAGGAGTGAGGGTCCAAGGTTCTGGAAGGCCAGGAAGGACCACTGAGGCCTCTGATCCCTGAGGGGAGACCTCAGCTTGCCGGACCGGTCTCATTCCCCAGCACTGAATGCTAAATCTTTAGCATTTATTTAAACATCTTTCCATCCCTATTTCTCCTCCGACAGGAAGACTGGGGTTGAGGTGTGGAGAGCACTCACCCAAGATAACATGGCCTAGAACCCTGAAGGGTCCTGGCCCCATCCTGCTTTCCCCAACTGGCCCCATCCTGCTTTCCCCAAGACCATTCCATGTGCCTCTCCTGTGCCCCACCTACGAGTCTCATCGCACCCTCCCCACTCTCCCCGGCTGCCACAGCCCCCCTTCCCCAACCAGTGGACCGGCTGGTGGGGAGTCTAGGGTGTTCAGCTCTGGGTGGCTCCTCAGTGTAGGGTATGGTCCCCCGCAGGCGCAGGTCCACCTTCCAGATTCACACTCCTCATTTTCTAATACTCAAACTCAGCTCCCTGGGAGCAAGGACTTGGCCAAGGTCGCACGTGCGCGGGTGGCCAGAGGAGAGCCCAGGCGTCCGGCCGCCCGGTCCAGGCTTCTGGGGGCGGGGCGCGCCCGCTGTGCCAGGCGCTGCCGGCGGCGCCGCCGGTGCC